ATACTTATTGCATTCCAAGGCCTTCAGATTTAATATTTATTGTCATTGCATCTTTATTGTGTCATAAAATCTAACATGCATATCTTGCTTTCTATTGCAGATGGTTTTCCATTATATGATTATGTAGTACAAATATGGTATGTTTAGCCTATGAAATGTTATACATATATTTTTTCCAAAACCTTGATAGTGTTTTAGAAATATTATCCTACTGGGTTTGTTAGCTCACTCCTACTTAACATTTTTCAAAGACTGATTGGGATGTCGGGGATGCCAATGAGGATTATCAGCTTGAAGCTTGATTTTCTCTTTTTTTTTTTCATATTAGAATGCTATGTGAGATGAGAGAGTTATGTAGTAAACATTAATCTTTTTCTTCCAATGTACTTTTATTTAGATCCAGGGTTTGTAAACTTAAAACAGAGAACGATGGTCTTGTGAGAGTTAGTACTTTATAAATTGATGTATGAACGTGATGTCTGAATTATGACTTTAGGGAATGATTGTTAGATGTAGGATCTCACAGGTTGTGCTCTTACCATCATGTTCATTGCCTTTGATTTATTTTAAATGATATCTGCACCGGTAATTTTTGAATAGGTGACATTCTCTTTTAAACTAAAAATGATAATGTTTACAAAGATTTTCTTTGATCTGAAACCAGTACAGATTTTAAATGTTAATGTGCAGGTTTTGTATAAATCACGCCGTTTATGAAAAACAAGACTGTGACAGGTCAATACACAATCTACACTCCTAGACCCCATTAATGAAAATAAAGCAGGGTGTCATTTTTTTGTTCTTTTACAGATGTTAAGCTAATTCAATCACCGATTTACAAGCAAAGTTTTTTAGATAAAACTAACACAAGGCTCAGTTTGAGTTGTGGGTCATAGGGCAGGCAGCTTTCTCTGATCAAGGGTTGGGGCACAAGGGTCCTGGTACTATACAGGTGCAAAGAACCCCCGAGGTGACTGCACTGAGCAGAAATCTCAGTCATCGGCCACATTTTATACCCTTCACACTAACACAAAAATTTCTATATAATCGCAATCAAGTCCCTAAGTTGCAAGTCATATTTCAACAAAGTCGCAGTATCCAAATCCATCAGTAATTATAAAGGAAAAAGCATCATGCGAGCACCACGTGCACCACGTGCCCCAATTGGGGGTTGGTTTTTGCCAAATTACCCGTAGTGCCATAGTTTATGTTTTCTAATTGCATTTTTTGACTCATTTGTAGCACATTTCAGCCCTTTAACAACATATGCTGCCTTATGTTGTACAAATTTCACTCATACATATTTCTTTGATCAAAATTGTTCATGCGATATTTTCTAATTATGATGCTATTGAATTTGTTATTTTCCTGTTATGATGCTAATGAATTTGGTTCGTGAGAATTAATTAAAATGCATTTTCACGTTTAGGGACTTGATCATTTCAATTGACAGTGTAGAATCCAAATAAAAATCAGGTGCAAATTTTAAAAGTAGACGCGGTAATTGATAATTAGTTTCAAGAATCACCATGAGCTTGATATTACTTTCAAAAAGAGGGGAGTCCCCATTTTTTATTGATTTTTATCCCTAGGTTCCCCCACTCACCTAGGGTCCCATTTGCTTTGGCCTTACTTAATCACATGACTAATTTTTTAAAACAAGATAAAAATTCATTTGGAGATTTTCTATACATCTAAAGCTTGTTCGCCTTAAATATAATTTCTAAAAGTATGAATTTGAATATACAAAATTACAAAATAGCAAAAAAAGAAACAAATCAATTCAATCCGCAAAACCAAAAAAAAATAAATAGATAAACTTTATGGCCCATTTCATTTTTTAGTCTTAGGCATCAAGTAATATTAGCCAACCTACTCTAACATCCCATCCCGTGCCTTCCTCCCTCTTGGCACACCCTCCATCCCAGGTATGTTTTAGTCTGTCTATTAAGCGAGGAATGTGAAGAATAAAAAAGAAACCAAAGTGGAAAGTGTTGGTCCCAGATAGGTGAGACAATGTTCATGGTGATCTAATCATTAGACTGAGGATCACATATAATCCTGAGAGAGAAGACCACGTGATGCAAACACGAGAGAAATCAACAGAACGTCGTTAGGGGCCCTCGTTTACTATATTTATAGACCCAAGGCACCCATTCAAATGAATAGACACCCTATGGAAAGATTGTAATTGTTGGCACAATAACAACTATTCCAAGAGTTGTGTTGGTGTTCAAATGCAAATCATATATACTTTTCTCTCTATGATCTTTCTCCTCATGCATGGGAAAATAACTGCCAACCATTTTATCCATTCATAAGTCATATGTACAAGCGTGATCACCCAATCCATGGGTCAACATCTCCCATTTGAGCACACTTAAACATATTGGCCGAGTTTCCTAGTTGGTGTTTATCTTCGGTACCAAATATTTGTCCACGCCAACTCTTATATGTGATCACACACAAATTGTTAACTGATCATGGTGATGGACCTACATGCACATGTTTTTGCTATCGAGTATGAGCACACCCTTCCACATGTTATCCTTACTGACAACTTCCTCCAGGTGACTTCGATTCACTCTATAACCAAGTGATCGACATTAATGCTCTGTGCTAGGGATCATAAGGTCCACACCCTCAATGCTATTGACGACTTCAGTCAAACACAAATTTAACCAATGTGTTGGACTGCGCCCAAAATTTCGATCAAGTACTTCCTCTTTGGCCTATACAGAGGTTTTCCATGATACACTTTAGCGACGACTTAATATACCATGCACCTAGGTGACTATGCAAAGATCTCGTGGTGCGTCAAAAGTGGACTTTGCACTTATGAGCATGCGATAGCCCTAATATGTCTGTTGGTGTCATTTACCTTTTATTCGACCAATTCTTTTCCCCTTCCATCTTTCCATAAATTCCAAGTGTCCCTAAAATTTCTCCAAAAATGACGTTAACCGTGTAAAACTACAACATCTAGGTGATCCATAACACCATTGCAATTACACCTGAATTCCTCTAGAGACACCCCTTGGCCATAGAGTCGGCCAGCATCTCGAGAGGGGGAAATAGACGATTTTCATTTCACCACTCTCTACTATATCATATACATAGTGATAACTTATGTCAATGTGTTTAAAAGATGGCAGACTTATCATTACAAAACACATTGACTAGCCTCCTAATTATACCATACTTTAAATAAAGTGTTTAATCAAAAAAACATTACTTACCATTGTTCCATATGCTATGCATTTGGCCTCCATTGCGTCATTTACCACACAGCTCTACTTTCTTGGGTNCTCCTAATTATACCATACTTTAAATAAAGTGTTTAATCAAAAAAACATTACTTACCGTTGTTCCATATGCTATGCATTTGGCCTCCATTGCGTCATTTACCACACAGCTCTACTTTCTTGGTTAACCAAGAAAACAACCATTCCACCATATAAGATAAGACTATTTATAGACATCCAACCATTTACATCATTTGCAAAACTAGCATCTCAATGTGGCCAACAATTCTAGATCATTTAATTCAAAGCATAATTGCATACCTTCAAGTATCTGACTGCTCTCTTTATTGTTCGCCAATATGCCCAACCTGGATTAGACTTATATCCACTTACCAATCCTATTTCATGGATTCTTAGGTGGATTTTAAATATCATTGCCTAAATCATCGTTTGAGTTCATATTGATATATTTTCAATTTATAGACTTTGTACTCATGTCCTCCAACCTAAAAGCCACCATAATATTCCATATGGATGTCTTACTTTAGTTCTCCATTAAGGGAGGCCCTTTAAACATCTAACATAAGTAGCGCATGATAAAGTTTAGTTACTACCAACATGACTATCATGATAGAAATAGAGTTGGCCACAAGAAAATATGTCCACGAAGTCTATCTCGAGATTTTGAGTAAACCCCTCAATCATCAATGTAGTTTTCTAGAGTTTCATTCGCTTTCAACCTTTTCAAAATGACCACTAGTAAACAATGACTTTTTTTTGTTTAGGAAGATCAACTAAGTCTCAAACATCTTTAATCTAATCAAGCTCATCTCTCATAGCTTACAACCATTGATTTGTATCATGTCCTATTATTTTTATGATGGTACTCTGTTTTCTTTCCTCCCACTATTCTCAGCCTGCTTGGCTATTTGTCATTTGGTGTCAATGTTGTCTCCAATGACACTTAGTATACTATTATGTACACAACCTAATAATTTACCTAATCAATCAGAGTTTTCAGATTGGTACATTCAATAAAAATAGCATCCCTACTTTCAATCAATCCCAAACCCGAATGAAAAAATTTATAGTCATTACCATTATTTACACATCTTAACAACTTACATCCTCGAGTCTTAGTTCTTAACTTATCCTCGAGAGGCATTTGAATAAGACCACAGGTCATATACCCCTAAATTCTCAAGTTTGATATGTTTAGATTGTTGGTCTTTCCTTAATCTGGACTCTACTTAAAGTTTGCCAAAAATTGAGATTTGCTAGACCTTCTCATATACCCAATAGAGTCCTACTTTATCTATCCGCAAAACCATTTTAGGCGATTGCATACAAAACATTACTGAGAGTTGTGTTGGTGTTCAAATTCAAACCATCTATACTTCTCTCTATAATCTTTTTTCTCATGCATGGTAAAATAATCGCCGACCATTGCATCCATTCATGAGTCATATGTACAAGTATGATCACCATGGTTCAACAGAAAGATGAGGAGACAGAATTCTGGCATAAGATGCTTCCCTGTGATATACCATAATATAGTTATTTCAATAATGCTATGAACACCACCTTTTTGCACCACTGTATATAGTTATTTTATATACAGGTAGAGTTCTTCACCACCACAGAACAGATTTTCGTGACTATAGAAAAAGGAATAATAGGTCATCGTTTCGTCATATTAAGCATTGTGTATTTGTGTGTGTGTGTGTGTGTGTGAGAGGAGAGAGAGAGATTTACTTTGTATAGCGAGAGATGGCGATGAAGGGAATGATGAAGCGGATAGTTTAACCTTGACATGAATCAAAACAACAGTCTGTCCCCTGCTGAGAAGATTATCAACGGCCCATTTCAAAGCACCTTGGCTTGGTTTATCCTTGTCTATTGCCACTGCTATCAATTTATTCGTCATTGGCGTCCTTTCTCCATTGTTTCTCGTTGGAGGCCACATCTTAGCTTCCTGAATTAGAACACAACCTAACCCCCAAATACCAAAATATCTAGCCTCCCTATTTTTCTTCTCAATTCTAACCAAAATGCACTGTATCTTCTTCTTACCCTAAAATTTCTTGACAGTTTTTCAATCAATTTTCACACGAACTTTCGAAGTTCTGACAAGACGAAGGTTCAAATCTCCTCATTTTCTTTGCTTGATCCTGCGTCCTGCAAAAGACCAAGAGAGAAGCTTCTTAACTTTTGCCTTTTTTTTCCCTACCTTTTTACCCTTTTTCTCCGAGAAGAAGATGAAAATTTTGGTGACAATTTTGAAATTCGTTTTGGGAACATGTTTGTTTGGACTTGATTTATTCATAGTAGAGATCGAGTCCCTTTAGGGAGCGCCATCTTTGGCGGGTATTTGTTGTTTTATCGCCGACTCCCGAAAAAAAATTTAAGTGATTATTTGTTGGTATATGGGTGCTAATTTTCGGGAAACAGTACGAGGGTGTAGCTTAATTTTATTATTGGTGATTCCCAAATAAGGGCTCAAGTAATTGACCTTCCAATGATAAAGTCAATAAAAGATTGATATGAGAGAAAGAATATATTTAGGAAAAAGAGTTACTTACCTTCGACGCAGCTTCATTCTCACCTTTATGAGCCCAAACTCTATTACCGTCGGAGTCTTGTAGCTGCTTTTCAATTCAGGCCGCAAGGAAACTAGAAATGGCTTCCCCAAGTACTTGGAGCTAGATTGAGCTAAAAAGAGGGGATATGGGTGAGCTACCTAGGGTTGAAACTCAGTCTTTTGCCATGTACTCCACACCTCGTGTCTTGTTTTGTGACTAATAGGCACATGCTAGTCACTTGTTTGTCTTTAGCCAAATTTACCTCTATCAACTTTCCCTTAGCTCAGACTAGTAGGGAGTACACCAACACATTGACTATATTCGTCCGTTGGAGGGAGTAATGGTGCTCGCTTGGTATACTCAATCGCTAAAGAGCTGTTGTCGNCATTGACTATATTCGTCCGTTGGAGGGAGTAATGGTGCTCGCTTGGTATACTCAATTGCTAAAAAGCTGTTGTTGNTGACTATATTCGTCCGTTGGAGGGAGTAATGGTGCTCGCTTGGTATACTCAATCGCTAAAGAGCTGTTGTCGGCCCAGTATATAAGGATATCCCAACTTCTTCTCTAATTATCTTTGGGAACCTCTAGAATTTTGGTGAGCCTTTGGTTCCTTACCGTAATCTCTTCTAGCTTGTTTAAAACAACATGACTCTTTACCCTGAATCGCATAGGTTGGAGCCATATATTTCAATTCTATGTTTACCATTTTCTGTTTCTCAAGGTGGAAAAGCTTTGATTAGCACCTCTAGGGTTTTTTGTGGACAAACCCATCCGTGCTCATCTTGCCTTTGTGTTCGATTTTCTGCCTTGCTTTAGTTGCTAGCAGAGTTAATGGTTCCTTTCGAGCAAATTTGTACATCCACCATCACAACTTCCTAGTCATGGCCTCTGATTTTGATCGCCCTTTTGCCGAGAAAGTCTCAACTCTCGTAGCCCAAGCTGATGTTGAGAACGAGGAAGATACCAACTCCATTAAAGAGGTTGGGTCTTCCACCTTAGAGAAGAAGTTAGGATATCCTTATATACTGGGCCGACAACAGCTCTTTAGCGGTTGAGTATACCAAGCGAGCACCATTACTCCCTCTAACGAACGAATATAGTCAATGTGTTGGTGTACTAGTCTGAGCTAAGGGACAGTTGATAGAGGTAAATTTGGCTAAAGACAAACGAGTGACTAGCATGTGCCTATTAGTCACAAAACAAGACACGAGGTGTGGGGTCCATGGCAAAAGACTGAGCTTCAACCCTAGGTAGCTCACCCATATCCCCTCTTTTTAGCTCAATCTAGCTCCAAGTACTTGGGGAAGCCATTTCTAGTTTCCTTGCGGCCTAATTTGAAAAGCAGCTACAAGACTCCAACGGTAATAGAGTTTGGGCTTATAAAGGTGAGAATGGAGCTGCGTCGAAGGTAAGTAACCCTTTTTCCTAGATGAATTCTTTCTCTCATAGCAATCTTTTATTGACTTTATCATTGGAAGGTCAACTACTTGAGCCCTTCCAATTGTCGACTTCTAGATAAATGCCCGTTCGTTGGTAATTGTCGAGCCATAATTTCTACTTGAGCCCTTATTTGGGGATCACCAGTAATAAAATTAAGCTACACCCTCATACTGTTTTCCCCGAAAATTAGCACCCATATACCAACAAATAATCACCTGAAATTTTTTCCAGAAGTCAGTGATAAAACAACAAATACCCGCCAAAGATGGCGCTCCCTAAAGGGACTCGAGGGTCTCTACTTCGAATAAATCAAGTCCAAACAAACATGTTCACCAAAACGAATTTCAAAATTGTCACCAAAATTTTCATCTTCTTCTTAGAGAAAAAGGGTAAAAAGGTAGGGAAAAAAAGGCAAAAGTTAAGAAGCTTCTCTCTTGGTCTTTTGCAGGACGCAGGATAAAGCAAAGAAAATGAGGAGATTTGAACCTTCGTCTTGTCAGAGTCTCAACTCTCGTAGCCCAAGCTGAATCACAAAAGTGACCTTTAAACACTTAGGGAGATTCAACTGGAGAACCCACTAGGGCACTCTCTAGCTGCTCGAGCGGTCTGGGAGATGGCTTAAGCAAACTTGAGACGTCTTGAGCGTTCTACTCCCTAGAGGTCTAGAAAGACTTATTTTTCACCCTAGAAACTATCATCGATGTTGAGAACGAGGAAGATTCCAACTCCATTAAAGAGGTTGGGTCTTCCACCTTAAGGATTAGCGGAGCCAAGAATATCTCTAGCTACTTGAACGAGAGTTTTTTCGAACAATTAGGGCTCATTATCTATTCCCCAGTTCTGTTCAGTTACGAGTTCCTTCCGCTAACGAGACTAAAAATTCTTTCTCTCCTAAGGAAGTTTGCTTTTATGAGTCCACCTTCGAGGCTGGGCTTTGTTTTCCTCTCCCTTGCTATATTAGGGAGGCTCTTTACCTCTTAAACCTAGCTCCTACCTAATTAACCCATAATAGTTGGGGCTATCTAGTTGGTATGGGTGTCCTCTCAGCCAAAGCCAATGGTATTGGTGTGCAACCATCCTTTACTAAGCTACTACATTGCTACAAACTTACCCCTGCTCAAGACAAGATTTGGGAGTGGTTCTAGTTTTTGAAAAGAAAGGGTCCCCCTTTGTTGACAGGCTTTTCCTCCAATGTAAAGGAATGGAAGGACAAATTATTTTGTCTCCGGTTCTAGTTGGGAATTCAGGCCTTTTGAATCTAGGGAACCCCTACCCCTAGTTCTAGTAAGTTTTGTTTTCTTTTAGGTGGGCATGTCTTGCATCCTTCATAGGATTTTCCTATCTTTCTTTTTATGTAGGCAAGTCAACTCCTATGTCTTCTAACTCTAGGGCGAGGATTAAACTGGTGCTTGAATTTCCAATCGAGGAATTCTCTGAGTTGTAATAGACCAAGCTCTTTATGAGAGACTTTTGGCGCCCTTTAGGACAAAGAAAATATAAGAAACCACATGTCATTTACTAAGCAAGTAAAACTTTGAATGATACTCAAATGAATTATTCAACGACTGAAAAAAATTGCTTGCGGTAGTGTTTTCTTTGGAAAAATTTTGCCCTTATCTTGTTGGTTCTTCTGTTACTGTGTTCACTGACCATGCAGCATTAAAATTCTTGCTTACCAAGAAGGATGCCAAACCTAGGCTCTTAAGATAGATACTCTTGCTTCAAGAGTTTGACCTGGTTATTAAGGATAAAAAAGGTGTTGAGAATGTGGTGGCAGACTATCTGTCCAAGTTAACTTATGCATTTCACAAGGATGGACTACCAATCAATGAAAAATTCCCTGATGAAAAATTGTTCATAATTGATGAGACCCCATGGTATGTTGATATTGCTAATTTTCTTGTTACTGGAACACGCCCTCCGTCCTTTTCCCCCACAGACAAAAAGAAATTTATGAGGGAGGTTTTTAACTTCTTTTGGGAAGATCTGTACGTATTTAAGTACTGCAAGGATCAAATCATAAGACGTTGCATCCTCACTCGAGAAAGCAAACATGTAATAACATTTTGTCATTCTGAAGCATGTGGTGGCCACTTCTCCTCAAGAAAAACCACTGCAAAAATCTTGTAATGTGAATTTTACTGGCCCACACTTTTCAAGGATGTCCATGCTTTTTGTTTAAATTGTGATAGATGCCAAAGGTTGGGAAGCATTTCAAAAACGAACATGATGCCCTTAAACCCAATTCTTGTGATTCAAATATTTAACTATTGGGGCATTGATTTTATGGGACCATTCCCCCTTCCTTTGGCTATCTATACATTTTAGTAGCCGTAGACTATGTATTCAAATGGGTTGAGGCAATTCCATGCCGAAATAATGATCATCAAACGATGATCAAATTTCTTAAAGAAAACATTTTGTCCCAGTTTGGGGTTCCTAAATCAATCATAAGTGATGGGGGACTCATTTTTGCAATCGCCCTTTCCAGAATTTGATGAAAAAATATTTGATTTTTCACAAAATTGTAATCCCTTATCATCCACAGACTAGTGGACAGGCCGAATTAGCTAATTGGGAGATCAAATTAATTTTGAAAAAAATGGTAAATCCAGACCGCAAAGATTGGTCGTCAAGACTAACTGATGCACTCTGGGCATATCGCACTGCGTTTAAAATAATTTTGGGTATGTCTCATCGATTAGTCTATGGAAAGCTGTGTCACCTACCTGTGGAATTGGAGCATAGGGCATATTGGGCCATGAAAGCAATGAACTTTGACCTAAATAAGGCTGGACTTTCAAGAAAACTGTAAATTAACGAATTGAAGGAATTGAAAAATGAAGCATATGAAAATGCTAAAATTGCTAAAATCAGGATGAAAATTTTTCATAGCAAGAACATTATGCGGAAGTCTTTTGAACCTTTTCAGAAAGTCTTGTTGTTTAATTC